TTGCATCACACACAGCTGAGCATATTGCGCGGGGGCAACGGCGATGTTTGAATCGATATTGCGTTTTAACACATTCGTGTTCTTCCCTAAAGACAATCGAAGAGCGTCATTATAGTACTATGATACTTGTCCAGTGTTTTTGTAATCTCAATTAGTAGCTTTAAGTTAAGAATATGCGTCCGGCCAACGTTTAATGGCGCCCCTTTTACGATAAAGATAAAAAGTTCAAGTAAAATAATAATAAAATTAAAAAAAATAAATTATTACTGTCAGAAGATAGAGTATCTTAAATCTGACTGTTGAATAAAATATCTAAAAAAATATTCTACAGATTATAAATAGAAAAATATTTATAGGAATGAAAATAAAAATATTAATAATACTACTTTAATTTATAATATTATAAAGTAAGTAATATATATCAAAGAAACAGTATACTTTAGTAATAAATTAATAAAAAATATTTAAATTTTAAACTTTAAATCAGAAGCTCATATTATATCTCTGAAGAATATTATCAAGATTATATCTTAGAGAATGAATATTATACTGAAAATAATAAATAAATCTATAGTCTTAGTAGTAGCTATAGAGAGAATAAATATTTTAACTGATAATGTGAATATTTAATTAAATGATATTTATTATATTCTGAAGTTAAAAATCAATTTAATAAGTTATAGCAAATTTATATATAATAATTATACTTTTAAATAATTCATATACAGCAATAATTATTTAATTTTAATAATATCTTCTGATAGAATGACAAGTTTCATAGTACATTTGAAAAAGATATCTATGTGATGAAAAAATCATCAGCATTAAGAGATTTAACCTGTTATATAAGATTAAATAATAATTTTAAATTTATATATATCTTGTAATCAAATGATAATTCTCTAATAAAGCTGCTCAAAGATGATATCAAAAGCTGAGTTATTTAAAGTTAATAAATATATCAAAAATGACTGTAGATTTTAGACTAAAGATGTGAATAAATGATCAAAGAACTTTATCATTCTCTAAGATATATATATAAGTAAAAATGATTTATTTATCTTTTATCTCAATAATTAAAACTATCAAATCAGTAATGAGATTTTTTATATACCTTACTAATAAGAATAAAATATAATATAATGAAGATAATTTATTTACTAAAAAGGTACAAGATATTGAATGAGAATTATAGATAATATTACTTACTTTAAATAAATTATTATAATTATCATGAAAGCAGAGATTATATTAGTACTTATGAATTTTATTGATATGATTGAGATAATATCTCAATAGTCTGTAGAGACTTTATACTAAAATAATAAAAAAGAGTTCAAAGATAATGATATTAAAATATTTTACAAGAATAGATAGAAAATATATGAAGTAACTATCTCAGATATATCTTAATCAAATAACTCTGCATACTATGTGAATTAATTAATAGTAAATAAGATAAGAAGTCTACTATTTAATAGTGAGCTTGCCAGAGAGCTTTGAGATAAAGTAATACAGATGACTATAAAATTAATAAATATATTCTCTATATTAACAAATATTTTTGACTATAAAAATAATAGTTTATTGATATCTTTTAAAGCTTAAATAGAGGTTCAACTATTAGTTTATTGAATCTACAGATGAAAATATAAAGTTTATAAAAAAAATCTAAAAGTGATAAATAAACTTACTGATAGAACAGATGACAAAAAATAATAATTAATGAGTTATCAAGAATTATATTAATATCATATATTAGATACAAAAAAATACAAATTAAAGATTGCTAGAAATATTATTTTTGATAAAGATTTTATCATAGAATCTATATTTGTAAATACTATAAATGAAGTTATTAAGATGATAAAAAAAAATATTAAACTGTCAAAAAAATTAGATATTATCAATTCTCTAAATGACTAGTATTATTATCTGCTAAAATGATTAATAAAAGATAAACTAAAGATTTTAAAGATGTTAATTAATAAAGATTTAAAGAATATTATTGATTTAGTCTATTTACTTATTAAAATAAAGCTAGTCAAAGATAATAAATCTAAGATATCTATTAGTGATATTAATTCTATTTAGAGCATGTTTATAAATTACTCAAATAGTCTAATAGAGATGAATAAGAGCTCGGATTAAAATCACTAACTTGAGATAATAAGAAAAGAAGTCAAAATATTCAAGAATAATGAGATGCATATTATTATTAAGAAGATATTCAAGATAAATATCTTAATAAATAAATAAGTATTTAATTATAATTTGAATAATAAGAATAAGATAATTTATTTCAGAGTCTACTGAATGATTAGAAAGTTTCTACAGCAGCAGAGTATTCACTACTTTAAATCTTATACTGCAGTTATCTTAGAGTTGATAAACTGCTTTCTATTCATTATATCAACTACTAGAGATTGAAAATCAAAGTCAATTGACTATATATCAGCATTTTAGAATGATATACTACTATACAATAGAATAATTTATATGCAATTATTTATAAGCATTATATATAAAAGAGAAAAACTAGTTGATCTTCTTATACAGAGTTTATATGATATAAAGCAAGCTGTAAGAATTTAATATTTTATAATAATATAGTATTTTATATCACTAAAATTTATAATTTCAAAATATAATTAAAAATTTTTATTTTATTTTATTCACAAGATTTATATAATATTATATATCAATGATTGCAGAATTACAGATTTCAAAGATATGAACTTAAACTGAGTATTAAATGAAATATAAAAGAAATTTAAAATAAAAATATTAAAAAAAAATAAATTTTATCTTGAGATAAAAATTAAATACAAATTAAATAATAATTTGATAGTCTTACAGATTTAATATATTAAAGAGATTCTTGAAGATTTTGAGATGAATAAAATTAACTCTACTAATACATCTATGATAATAGACATATAATTTAAATTTGCTTCTGAAAGAAATATTAAATTAAAAGATGAGTTTATGACTATAAGATATTATCAGAGACTTAGATCACTTTAATATTTTGTATCAAGTATAAAATCAGATTTAGTATTTATTGTAAATTATTTATTAAAATTCAACTTATATCTAAATAAAAACTACTAAGTAACTTTGAAGCACATTCTTCACTATATAAAAAAAATAAAAGCTCTGAAAATAGTTTACAAAAATAAAAAAAATAATAGAATTCTGTAGTTAATTGCTTATTGTAATTCAGATTAAGCAGATACAAACTCTCAAATAAATCAATATCTAGCTATATTATTATAATTAATAAATTTTCAATTTTGTGACACTCATATTATTAAATATCAACTGCAAAATCAATAATAGAACTAGAATATATCACTACTAGTGAAAATGTATATAAGTTTACTTGATTGAATGACATACTATAAGATACAGATTTGATGAAAGAGAAATCAAAGATTTACACAACATTATAGATGAATAATAAAAATATCATCAATTTAACAAAGAAGAAGTTTTTGATAAAGAGATTCTATCATATAGAGATTTATTATTATATACTTTATGACTTAATTGAGAGAGGAGAAATAAAGCTTTTGTATATAAATTTTATAGTGAATAAAGTAGATAAATTTATAAAGTCTCTATCAAAGCCAGCTTACAATGAATTTGTGATGAAAATAGAATTGACAGAGATCTGATCTCATTGATAAGAATGATTGATTTTTATACTATTTTGCAACCTCTAAAAAAATATAAAGAGAATACAGATTAGAAGAGTAATTGTGTATCTTTTTTGCAAAATTACTATACAGATGCATAATAGAGCTTTTCCTAATAGGGAAACTAGCATCTGATTTCTGTATTTAATTTTTATTGTGGATTTGAGGGGATTCAGCAGCTAGGGGATAGATGGCAAGAGCTCAGGCTCACCATGGCATGAGGGGGTGTTGGAGGATTCCCCGGCTACCCGAGGTCACGTGCACCTATATATTTATTATTAGTTGTAGCTAGCTCGCTTAGAGTCCCACAATACAACAAGGTTGATATCGGTCCTCTAAGAAATACTACTTATCTTATGCCTGCTACGTTCTGACTCTTCGTCATGGTAAGCTTCTTCTTATGTCTAAAGATGGCTTCATTGCAGGAAATTTGAACATCATTATAATGCTGTCACAATGTTTCCTTGTTAATTAAATGTTTTTTTGCAGTAGCAGTAAAATTTTTGATATTTTGAGCTCTTAAATGCTCAATTGCAAGCTTAATTTGAGCCTCGTTGACTGGCATTTCAACGCATTGAAGGTGGAAGAATATGAGTGCGTTGAATTAAAACGCGGCTCGTTGAGTGGTTTGGCTCGTTGAGTGGTAAGTCACGTCAACTAATGAAGTTAACTTAAGCACTTGGCGGACAGAAAATAATCCGCGGCCGAACTCAGAAGCACGTCCATGTCCATCAAATTTAAACAAACATCATCAAGTGCACGGTAACGAGCAATTGACCTCATCGGAACCTGGGGTTTTCCTCAACATGTCTTCAAGAGCCGCTTGGCGAAACCTGCATTACAGCGCAAAACGCAGGACATTCATTCATTCCTCAAACTCCATATCGGTGTTTCTCCTGTTCCATCCAGGCACGAAAACCGGAGACATTGAAACCAGGGCAAGATGGACGAACTACGCATTTCGGATTTGAAATAGTTCCAAAAACCGAAAAAGAAGCTAGAGGTACATATTTCTATTGCCTATATCTTCATCTCTGTCCCACTCCAGCATGAGTCCAGGATGCACTTCGTCTCACGAACTTCTTTCAAAAGCTAAGACCTAGAACAGTGGGAGCCGTTTTCAGCTCCGTAGCTAGTACATATGACACTATGAACGATTTCATGTCTCTAGGAATTCACCGCCTGTGGAAAGATCACTTCGTTCGATCCTTAAATCCCGGTTCACGATATCCGAACGACCACTCAGACACACAGCAAGGCTGGAATATCCTCGACGTGGCCGGAGGGACGGGAGACATTGCCTTCCGGATGCTAGACCATGCGATGAACATCAATAATGACCACAATACGCGTGTAACCATAGCGGATATCAACCCAGACATGCTCGCGGAAGGGAAGAAGCGGAGTCTCGAGACCCCATATTACAATACGGATAGATTAGCTTTTATGCAGGGGAATGCCGAATCGATGCCAACGATACCGGATAACTCGATTGATATGTATACTGTTGCGTTCGGCATTCGTAATTTCACGGATAAGCAAGCAGCCCTGAACGAAGCATTCCGCGTCTTGAAACCTGGTGGTGTCTTTGCATGTCTGGAGTTTAGCAAGGTAACAAACGGGCTAGTCGACGAATGGTACAAGCTGTGGAGCTTCAGTGCAATTCCTCTGATTGGGCAGTTAGTGGCAGGTGATCGGGCCAGCTACCAGTACTTGGTTGAAAGCATTGAAAAATTCCCAAGCCAGGAAGAATTCCGCAAGATGATTCAGAAAGCTGGCTTTATGATTCCTGGACGTGGTTATGAGAACCTCAGTTTGGGAATTGCTGCAATTCATAAGGGTGTGAAGCCGTTGGCAAGCTCAAAACAGACGCGCACCATCAATGAATAAAGTGCTATATCCCCCCCCACAACGCCCATTCGAACAAACACCCCAAACCAACCTGTTCTTCCCGCTGACCGGTATCATTTTCTTGAGGTTTAGTTGGGTGATTTTCTTCTGTGGACTCTGTTTTCTTCGTGAGCATATTGAATTATTACCCCCCATAATTCTTGAAGATGTGCGTTTAATATCACCATATGTCATTTAGGCTGCGCTTGACGAATTATAGCGGAATGGTATTAGTAATTGAGACTAACCACTAGATATGCCAAGCTTGGCTATGCAGTTGTCATTCAAATAGCGTGCATGCTTCTAAAATGGTAAGCTTTCAGCGGAGATAAAAAAGAAGTATACACGGGAAATATTCCAAAGCGCTGGTGAGAACCAGAATTATATTATTTGTGCCGCCTCCATTTCGGCCGTTGATCATGGTGTGACCCTCATGTTGACGAACCATATCGGATGATGTCGAATCATCAAATTCAACAGGGCAGACCTCCGCTTAGCTTTCAAGTTCTCTGTTATAACATTCACCGTTCTCATATCTGTCCATTGACTGTTCTCACAATCCCACTGTACCTTTTAAGGCGGATAAGGATTCCGGGGTACGGAGTGCAGAGCGGCTCAGAGCAGCCCTGCCCAGCCACTCAAACATGACTAAGCATTTTTATTTTCACAAAACAAATCGTCCTTTACCAACAGCCCAAAGTATTATTTTGTTTTTTTAACCCCCCCACAACTTTCCCGCCTTGAGCATCACTCGTTATTAGCTCCAATATTAAACATTGCCTTTCGAGGAGATCGAGCCTTTCACTGGCAAAATTAGCACGCATCTGCGGATTTCCTTATGATTTGTTAATCCTGAACGCAACCCTACCACCAACCCGTTTGTTCCAGTAGCATATAAAGAGCCCCTCCATTTGCAGTTTTCTCCTCCGTCCTGCCGCGTTAATTATATCTTCTTGAGCTGCCAAACTATCACTGCATATAAGGAAGATGAGCCTTTGATCAGATTCCCCGGCCCCGGCCAGGTTACCCCTCCCTTCTTATTTTTACCCAGGTCACCGTTGTCTAGCATGGTAATTTGTAATATACATAACTTCTTTCTCTTTCCTTTTGACTAGACCTGCAGCATCCCTTTGTTTTTGCTCCATATTGTTTGCGGGGGAAAGGTCAAACATGACGTCTTTCCCGCTGGCGCGCAAAAGACGACGAACCTCATCTCCATCCCCTCCGGTCCAGACTCAGTTGCCGATAATTAACGGCATTGCTCCCACTCTGCCAGTGGCCTCACCAGACCCGGATGGCGCGTCATTTCCACCCCCCGATGGCCTATCTACTTCGATATCCACGGCTCTTCACGTCATTGCCACCGAGCGGGCTGCCTTGGCACATCTTGAGAAGATATATTTGACAGATAAACTTGCCCGGGATAGTATTGAGCGCGCAGTTACAACGATAGCCGACACTGTGAGCTCTGGGGGGAAACTTGTTATCACTGGGGTTGGTAAGAGTGGAAAGATAGGCGAGAAGGTGGTGGCTACTATGAACAGCCTGGGAGTGCAAAGCACTTTTCTACATCCCACCGAAGCGCTCCATGGAGATCTTGGCATGATTAAACCAGTAACTGCCCTTTTTTTCTGTAAACTCTATAATTAGGGATGGTCATTAACAGTGCCTTCTCGATCGTTTAGAATGACACTGTCCTCCTAGTAACCTTTTCGGGAAAAACGCCGGAACTTCTTCGCCTTCAGCCCTATCTTCCAACAACTGTGTCCATAATCGCTATCACTGCTCATATGCAGCCCGATTTGTGCCCCCTTTTAACTTGTTCCAGCAATGCCAACTCAATTCTCCTTGCCAGCCCTGTTCACGAGCATGAAGAAATATCCTTCGGTTTACCTGCGCCAATGACTTCCACAACTGTGGCGCTGGCTGTGGGCGATGCGCTAGCTCTTGCTACCGCCAGAAGGCTGCATACCATACCCGGCAGAGGCCCCGCGGAAATTTTTAAAGGTTTTCATCCTGGGGGGACAATCGGCGCCGCATCATGCATATTTACGACGCCGTTATCGGAGTCAACCTCTAGCTCAACTCCCGCAAGTTCGTTGTTTTCTGAGGAGCTCCCTGAACGACCAAGTCAGATTCCTCCAACCTCATCGTCAAATCAGGACCGTTGCATATCTGATGTCGGGACACCATTCTCGCTAATTCATTGCATATCAACGCAATCTCCTCCACTCCTCGCACAAACGCGCATTATCGATATCTTAAGAGCCGCTATCAGGTTTCCAGCAGCCAGATCTTGGGTTCTCCTATCTCCAACAGCAATCATCCCACCCCAGCAAGTTCGTGCCCTCTCCGAGGAGAAGAATGTGGATATCACGTTGCAAAACCTTCCGTATGTGACCGAAGTGATTATCCATCAAAAAGATTGGCTCCATGTTCCACAATACAGTACCATTGGTGACGTGAAGCGGATGGTTAATGAGCGGAACGAAGAGGCCTTTGGGCATACTGATGTCCCAACCCCTGTGAAAGGGGCCATCAAGCCAGTAATAGCGGTGACTGATGGGATCACTGGTGATATCATAAGTGTCATTGAGAGACAAGACCTGTTGGATAAATATGCATGATGTTCTTCGTTGGGTTTTGTTTTTTACCGTGTCCTACTTAGGCCTTGATTGGTGACCAATTGACACCCACTGTTGCGGACACATCCTTCATTTTTGGATAGCTTTGCTTTCTCCTGTAAAATTTTCTAGTATCTTGTGAGCGACCATTTTCTAGTCTCAGCATGGTACAGTTTATAAATTTTCCCTTCTCTGTCTTTCCGTTATTCTGACACAATATCTTATTTGCATTACTATACCCCTCACCCTCTCCTTTCCCCTTTTATTTACCAAAAAATTGATTTTTGTTCTTTCATTCACGTTTGAAATTCAAATCTAACTAAGGCTTTGAAAATTGCTGACATCATAGCATTCAACGATTCGTAATTGTCAACCCCAATTTCCTCTTGTCTCTCGTCATTTCTGGAAAGTGTCTATCGGACTCACTACTGATGTGTCAAACCAATTGCTTGCGATTTTTGGGAGTATGGACGTATTCTACAAGTCAACAATCTCTCAAAGGACTGCTCTGACAATAGTGAGTTCATATATTTAAACAGTTGGGGTTGTGGGTTAAAGAAAAAAGGTTATTTTGCCCCGGCCTCGCCTGTTTCTTACATTTTGGTGATACACTTAAGGCGCGGACAGATTTCCCCTTGTCCTGGTGCAGAGGTGAAAGAGAGCTCAGCATTTTCTCCAATAACTAGTCCGTACACCGGAAGTGTTTTTCTCATTCCTTCACTGTTGCTTTATCCAGTCACGATCGAGGGGGCTTGTTCCGATGAGCATATGAGCAAGATGCTCCTCATTGATGCCTTGGCAGCAGTAAATTGTCAATGGATTGAGTGCAACGCTGTTTGCTGGTCTCAAGGTTTTCGTTGACGCCAGGCATCGGAGCTTGGGTGGGAGAGTAGTTCTAATCTAGGAGAAATATTTAATCAACCAATAACAAAGGAATAGTTAACTAACCGTGCCACGCGCACTCACCATTAGTGAGTGCGCCCCATTGCAAAGAAAATATCACTGTAATGAAAATATCTTTATTGCACATTCATTACCAATCTTTAAAAATTAATCCACCATCACCATGTCTAATAATATTAAATATTCAGAAGATCAGATTCAGATGGTATTAGACATCATAAAATCAAAATCAAATTTAAAAATCACACATATGACTTGAGAATTCAAAATTTCGTATAAAACTTTATATAAATACATTAAAGAAAAGAGATAAAATATAAGAACTTCAATTAATTGAATATTGAGTGATAGCTAGGAGGAAGCAATCAAGAAGCGAATTCATCAATTAAATAAAAACTTTTATGCTCTTACAGTTAAACATATTGAAGTTGCTATGAATTGAATACTGAGTTATTATTATATTAATTCTGATATCTTTTCTTCTACTCTAAGTAAAATATAAATATATTGATTCATCAAATATTTATTGAATTATAAAAGAATAAAGTAGAAACTTATGAATTCAAAACATATATCAAATAAAAATATAAGTATTTTTATAAACTGATTCAACTGCTATAAATTTATTTTTAATCAGTATAAATTTTATATTAGCAATATTTATAATTTTAATAAAATTAAGTTTCAAGAAAAAAAGAGTATAAATAATAAATAATAACTATCTATTAAGATGTTAATTCTGTTATACAATTATCATATTCTCATAGAATAATAATAGTAGTAATATATATTAATATAGATAATATAGTATTAAAGTTATTAATTATAATAAAATCAAAAATTCATCTAAAAATTAATATATACACTTCAATTTATTCTATAATTATATTATTATCATATCTAATACTTGCTTCATTAATAATAATATTGAATTTAAATAAATAAAATATTTTAATACTATTATCAAAAAATAAAAAATTAATAGTTATTAATTATTACTTTTTGACAATTATAAATCTCGCTTTATTAAATAGTTTCTTTAATAATATAACATTTATAATACTATTATATTTGAATTCTCATATTATTGTAAAGGGTTAAGCTCTAAGAACTAGAGGCTAGTTCTCTTATATAACAAGGACGAATTGCTTGAGAAAGGGAAGAAAAGAATGAGATGAGAACTTGAGCTTAAGCAAGCTTGCATAGCATGATCACATGCGCACATGTGAATGATGGCTAGGCTGAGTCAGCCAGCCAGAGCAAACAATGACTAGGCTGAGTCAGCCAGCCAGAGCAAATCTAGAGGTTCAATCTCTTATAATACCCTTCTTCTCTCTCTTTGTTGCAGGCCTTTACAACTATATAAAGCCCTCTTTACACCTAATTTTGCCTGCTGAGAGGCCTCTCAAGTGTTCAAGGCCTTTACTTCTTGTAGAAGACTTGTGTCATTTCATGTAGACTCAGCTCAACCTATCTATTTAACAAGATATTGCTTTTTCCTCTGATAGATTTATTCACTCTGAATTTCCTCAATCTCAAACTCAGGTCCTTTCAGAGTCTCTATAGTGGGTGACTGCCTGTCAGTTTGCCTCTGACTAGACAGAAGATCTGTCATCACAGCATGTAGAAGCTTTACATTAAAGACATTGTGAATGTCAGATGAGATGTTCAGTCAGTAAGCATAAAATTCTATCTTTTCTAGCACAGTATATTGATTGTATTTTGTGTCCAGCTTCTTGCACAGATAATTAGTTTTCATGTTCTCTAAGCTCAACCAGATCTTATCTTCAGGTTGAAAGTTTGAAGTCAGGTCTCTTCATCTATTCACATATTTCTCTTGAGATTGCTGAGCATCTGTCATTTTTACTTGAGCTCACTTCAACACTTCATGAGCCTTTCTCATATAATCATCTGCAAACTAAATGAGATTATATGACATTTCAACAGAGAGTGCATCAGCTATATCAATGAAGGAGACATGGAAAAGATGTGTTAAAAAGAATAAACTCACACTCATTGAGACAGCATCTCTATTATTGATGATCAGCTCTGCTAGAGGGAGTCATTCACATCAGTCATTCTGTTGAAAGCTAATGTACTTGCATAGGTAGATTTTCAGAGTCTGATTTATTCACTCTGTAGCTCTGTCAGTCTCTGAATGATAGACTGTGAAGAGTCATCTCTTAATGTCTAATTTCTCACACATCTGAGTTCAAAACATGCTTGTGAAAGCTGACCCTCAATCTGACACTATCATCTTATAAATGTTATGTTGAGAGATGATGTTGCAAAGAAATACTTTAGTCACTGTCTTTGCATCAGTTTTCTTAACTGCTTTTAATATAATTCTTTTGGTCAGTTTGTCTGTTATAATTATGATGTTTATGTATTCTTTAGAGCTTAATAAGTTTATGATAAAGTTTATAAAAAGCTTCTGCCATATGCATTCAGGAATGAGAAGAGGCTTAAGCAGTTCCTGACATTGATCTCTTCATGTGATGTTTGATCTGCAAAGATGATAGTTTCTGATCATTCTTCTCACATCAGTGGCATAGTCTGACCAGTAGAACTCATGTCTTAGAACTCCTGCTGTTTGCTCTCATCCAGAATGACCAGTAAGAGATGAGTCATGAGCCTCATACACTAACCTGATTTGAAGAGGTTTGAAATCTGACATTCACTTACAATCTCAAAAGAGAAGCTTTCTGTTCTCATTTAAAGAGCACTCAGAGACAGAGATCTTAATGCTGAGTTCAGAAGAAAATCTGAATCTTCTCTCATGAAGAATTTACTTCAGACACTGCAGAATCTTGTTATTTTTGCAGGTCTCATTTCACTGAGCTTGAAGAGACATCTCAGGTTTCATGCTGACAGTGGTTATTATTGATTTCATTTCAGATGTCAGTACATTAAACTTAAGTAGTTGAGCTTGCCTCTGCTTGATTCTCTCATCATCAGTGCTGTGTGACATGTTCTGCTCTCTTCATGATAGAGCATCTGGTTCAATGTTCAACTTCTCTGACTGGTAATCAATTCTGAAGTTGAATCAATAAAGAATATCCATCCAACATAGCTGTTTTTCATTTAGTCTGTGTGTAGTCATGAAGTATTCTAGATTCTTATGATCTATGAGAATTTTGAATTTCTTTACACTTCATAGCTCAGTGTCTCATTTCTTTAAACACTTAATTATCACTAATAACTTCTTATCATGAATCTCATAGTTGCATTCCGCAGGTGAATGCTTGTGAGAGAAGAAGGCATATGAGTGTAGAATGCTCTGCTCATCATATTGTAGCAGCACTTCTTCTGAGATGTAATCTGAGAAGTCTGTTTTCAATATAGTCTTATGATCAGAGTCAAATTGAAGCAGGATTAGAGCAGAGATAAATATTGATTTTAGACACTTAAAAGCTTTCTCAGCCTTGCTCATCCACAAAAAAGAAACATTCTTATGTGTAAGAATCATCAGTGGAATCACAATTTTTGAGAAATCCCTGATAAATTATCTATAGAAATTAGCAAAGCCTAAAAATCCTCATACATCTTTAAGAGTAGTAGGTGTCACTCATTTCAAAACAGCTTTAATCTTCTTTAAATTTATTTGTATATCCTTGCTCACTTCAATGATGAATTCAAGATATTTTGTGCTGTTCATCTTAAACTCACTCTTTCTGATGTCTGCCTGCAGGCCTGCTTCCTGTAGACACATAAGTATCTTTTGTACATGCTTGCAATGCTCCTGTAAGCTTCTTGAGAAAAATATCAAGATGTCATCTAAATAGACTGAGCAGAAGTCATCCAGATATCCACATAATGCTCAGTTAATATATTTTTGAAATGTGCTCAGAGTATTGGCCAAACCAAAGGGTGTAATCAGCCACTCAAATAGCCTGTATCTGGTTCTAAAGACTGTCATCCACTCATCATCTTCTGTGATTTGAATCTTGTGAAAAGCTGCAATAATGTTCAGCTTAGTGAATCATTTAGTCTGTTCAATTCACTATAAAGTCTCACTGATTAATGATAGAGAATATCAATTCTTTCAGGTGATTTTGTTAAGAGCTTGATAGTTCACACAGAATCTTAGCCCACTCTCA